CACACACACACACACACACACACCCATGCAGGGATACCCTGGACATTCTGGGCCTCGGATGCTTCTCTTAGGCTTCGAGTGTGATTTAATAGGGCCTTTCTCATATTCTTGATTCTAAAAACAGAATCATGTGGCTAAAACTCCCAAGTTCTTCTGCTTGCTGGAGCTAGAACTTATACACCTGATTCAAATACAGTGTCACCAGTTTCCCGTTTTCAGGGCACTGCCTAAGCTCACTTGTGCTAGAACTTGCCCTGTAGACCAGGCTGGCCTTGAACTCAGATATCTGCCTGCTCTGCCTCCTGAGTGCTGTGTTTAAAGGTGTATGTTTCCACACCAGGTCATAATCTTTACTTTCGTTTCACTATTTGGATGATAGCCTGGTTGGGGACATGCCTCAGGTCACCACTCCCTTTATTCTATTTAGCACCAGAGTTTTCCCAAAATTATTTCCTTTCTCAGCTTGTTCCTTTTCAATATGTATCTGCATAAGCATGGCCACTAATAATCAAGCCACATAGTCAATATTAGGCTTCAAATCTCTGTCAAAGATTTTAAGCCATAACTCTTCAATTTAGCCTCACATAGATTTTTTTAGACAAGGGCAGAAAACGGCCACATTCTTTACTAAAATAAAATGAGCATGGCTTCTGGGCCACATGCTATTATTCTTCTCCTCTGAAGCCTCTTGAGCCAGGCCCCACACAGTTCAAATCACCATTAGCACAACAGTCTTCCATGCTTCTACTAGTAGGGCCCATTAAGGCCCAGTTAAAGCTTTCCTCATCCCAAGTCCCAGAGTCCATATGCTTCCAAACAAAAGCATTGTCAGGCCTATCACAGAAAGACCCCACTCCTGGTACCAAGTTCTGTCTTAGGTTTCAATTGTTGTGAAGAGACACAATGACCATGGTTGCTCTCATATAGGAAAGCATTTAATTGATCTTGATCACAATTCAGAAGCTTTGTCCTTTGTCATCATGATGACATGATGACATGCAGGAAAACATGGGGCTTGAGAAGGTGCTGAGAATTTTTCATTCAGATCCACAGGCAGCAGGAAGAGAGAAATGTTGAGTCTGGCTTGATCATTTGAAACTGCAAAGCCCACCCCCGAGTGATACACTTTCCCCAGAAAGGCCATACCTTCCAATAATGCCACCCCCTTTGTGCAACTGTAGGTGCTGTTGTCTATGCCACAGTGTTATAGATTTGATTTTTAAATCTATGCCTATGTATGGCTTCTGTTTGCCAGTTTCCTTTTCTATCAAGCTGGAGGCAGGTGTCTTGGCTTTGTCATTGAAAATTCCCAAGGAAAGTTGTCATCACTAAAATAAAGAACTGGTATAGATAGAGGGGATTTATTTTCTGGCATTTTTCTTTATATATAATAGAAGAGAGAAAAGGGAGCAAACACAATCAATGATACAGTCACAAAAGGACAGCAGATATTAAAGAACATATCAATAGCCTTGTCTACCGCAGCCTCTACGTGGGTAAGTGGAGGTAATTGAAATGGTATTAATCCTATGTGGATTTCATTTTCTATGACCTAACAGTAACTTCTATAGAAAATCTCTTAAAACATTCATGGACAGGTAGTGCTCCATGACGAAGAGCATGTATTAATCTTCCAGAGAACTCGAGTTTGTTCCCAAGCTCCAGTGTCAGGTGAAACTCCAGCTCTAAGGGATTAATGTCGATATTCTGGCCTTCTTAGAAAATGCCTACATGTGTACACATTCACTCACAGACAAAGACACACACACACACACACACACAAACACACACACACAGACTTGAGACCAACAAAACATTATGAACTAGGTTCTTCATCACCTAAATTTTATCTTTGAACACTTGGCATTTGGTTAGAAGCTTTGGAAATTGGCTGCAGTCATACAAGCAAGTAGTATTAGAATCTGATTAGCACAGAAGCATCTATATCCCACATTAATAGTCAGTCAGTATTGTTGTCCCCTTATTTACATCCCCCAGTACCCAAGGTATAGTATGCAAAAGGTGTATCAGTTTTCGGCAAATATTTGGAGCCGTAAAATATTAATTCTATTTGAAAAATAGTTCCCAGTCATGAAGGAGGGCAGACCATTCAAGAACTATAGGAAGAGAGATCATATTAATGACACATTCACACACACACAAACACACACACACACACACAAACACACATTGCTGAGAAAACCTGTGGAGTGTCAAGTGTGTATCCTATGAATCATTTGCATTTTAAAGCAGAGATGATGAAAAGTTTTATGTATCCTTAGGGACTCTCACATAGCCATCGACTACAGAACATCCAAAAAGATTTGTGTTCGAGGCCAGTAGACACGATATCAAAGATACTGACACTCCTTCCTTGTCTCTCCATATTGCCCTTTCCTAGTACTTTCAAATTTGTTGGTAAATGGTGGCAGCACCGGGAGTTTTCATCTTGGACAGTTGGGGAATAAACAGATAACTTAGTCAGCTTAAATCCACTGGCATTCATTGGGTTTCTCATGTCACAGATGCTGTGACAGAAATCCATCCTGAGAAAGACTGCAGACGAATGACTCACAGCAACCTGGTTGGATTTCAAAAGCTCCACACATTGTCAGTCAAACCAACATGGAATAGTTACACAGGGTAGCTCAATTTATTTAATATGACTAGTTGTCAAATTGGGGGAGACGAGGAACAGATTCCTGCATCCAGGGACCACGCTGCTTGGGCTTGCTGATATGGTTACAACTGGAATATGGGAGCAGTTAGGAAAGCATTATACAGTGAGTTCTCTTTATGTGCAGTGATGGTCATAGGATACACAGTTAACAGGTGGTGGAAAGTGATATAGAATCCAGGATCTCCATGACAAACACAACAACTGCATATCGAAAAGGATCCCCAGTGGTAGACCATTATCAGGGGTGTAGGCAGAAACCAGAGGCATCAAGTCAGACCAAAGACTCATGGCAATGAAAACTTTAAAGTAATGATGAGCAGATTAATGGGTAAATTGTGTGATACAACAGGCCACAGTAGAGTGTCCACAACATGATTCTAATTTTTTGGGTTCTCCTTTGTTTTGTTTTGTCTCTTTCTTTTGTTTTGTTTAACTTGGTTTTGTCTTGGGGGTACGTTGCAAGGGCACAGGGGGAATGCAAGGAGATGGGGAGGTATGTGCATGGGAACGCATGATGCGAAAACGAAAAAGAAAAATGTGAAAGGAAAAAATCATTTAGTGATGACAATAGATCCCATTGTGTTCAGTAGGTAAACACAGTGGGATCCTGTGCTTATCCAAAGGATGATGTGTTGAGTTAGAATAACCAGACCTTATAACCCATTAAGTTGACGTTTAAGGCACATGGGTTTAGTCTGGTTTTTGACCAGCCTGCAGCAGAGCACAGTTATATAGAAGAGAATGGAGGGTCATAGATGACTCAGCCACTGAGTTAAACAGATTCTGACAACAAATCATTTCTCATCATCAAAATGATTATAACCTTACTTTGAAAAATTAAAAGCAGTGAGCACCATGTTGGACTCAAAAAAGTTGTTCAGCTCGTATTTTTGGAATAGAATATTTAATGGCATCAGTAAAGCTGCCTTAGTTTTTTTAACTTTCATTTATTATTTTGAACTTTCACATCATGTATGTAGATACCATTCATCTCTCTGTCCCTACATATTTGCCCTCTGCCCTTTCAACCTCCCCCACAAAATAAAATAAAATTTAAGAGGAAAAGAGAAAGAAAAATCTCGCCATGGAAGCTGTAGTTTGACACAGTGAGTCACGCAGTTTAAGCTTTAGTGCATACATCATTACTTGCAAGTGTTCATTGCAAAGAGTCATTGGTCTGCTTTGAGGTCTCTGGTTTCTGCTACACTATCAATATGGGGGTCCCAATGGAACTCCTATTGGATATCTTGTTGTTGCCCTGGGTTATGGAAGTCCTGCAGCATCTTCACATGCTCCAGCAGGTCACAGATGGGGTGGGTGTTAGGGTAGACCAACTCCTAATCCTGGCTCTAGGCCCGGATATTTATTTAACAAGGTCCATTGGCCTGGAAGGTCTCCCTAGTTGCCATGACCAAGGTGAGCTCTGCAGCATTGCCCAGCCAGTGCCCGCCTTGAAGCAGTGAGTCAGCAGTGGGAATTTTCCTTCTGCTTTCATGACCTCAGGATAAGCTCTCCCACAGCTACACAATCAGGGGCAGCACTACTGTGTTGCCCAGGAGAGGTTCAGAGGTCGTTCTCGCAAGAGCTGTGACTGGTGAGAGGCAGTGAAAACTCTCCTGTTACTGAATCTCCAGATCAGGATTCCCACCTGCAACAGTGGAATGGGGTTGGGGAAAGGACATCTCTCCCCTGACATGAAGCAGATGATGGGCAGGTCAGATTTCCCAAGTTCACACTCTCAGAGCTGGTTCACCAGCACCCCTGTCAATAGGGTCAAGCTCTACTGTAAATCACAGCTTAAGAACAGGGCTTACTTTTCCTGAGTGCTGCAGTTCGAAAGGGAGACAGATTGCTTGCACACCACATGCATGGGTTTGCTGTTTTTTTTTAAAGTTTTGCTTGTTTCTTATTTAAATTACGAATGAGTTTGCGTCATATGTCAATCCCAGCTTCCTCTTCCTCCCCTCCTCTCATGCCACCCTTCAACTCTTCCCCAACCCCTCCCCAAATCCCCACTCCACTCACTAAGGAGGGTGAGGCCCTTTATGAGGGATCTCAAAAGTCTGTCATATCACCCTGAGCAGGTCCTAGGCCTTCCTCCATTTGTCCAGGCAGAGACAGCATCTCTCCAAGTGCAGTGGGCTCCCAAAGTACATCTGGATGCCAGGGATAAATGCTGATCTATTGCCCCAAGCCTCAAAGAAGGCTGAGGCTTCCTTACTGACAACCACATTCAGGTGGTCTGGATCAGTGTCATGCTGGCCTCTCAGCTATCAAAAGACAAGCATGCTTTGCTATTTTTAATGACTCTGTTTCTTTTCTAATGGTGGAAGAGCACAGAACAAGGATCCTTAGGATCTCTCAAGATCAACAGAAAGGGAGAGACAGTGGGGAAGCTTACAGCCAAAACTTCACATACATGTCTTATCCAGAGACGAAAGTCCATTAAAAAAGTATGTAAGATGATACAAATAACATTTAGGAGGTAAAAGCTAACAAACGTGACAACCAGCATCAGGATGGTGTGGGCTGCTCTGGTCTCAGCGTGAACTCTGTGGTCCTGGATGTGAGTGAGGATGTGCTTTGTCCGCTGGTGATGTCTATGTAGGAGGAGCACCATGCAGAGGCTGGCGGAGGCCATGATGCTGATGAATGTGGCATCATGGGCAAAACGCAAGAGCACAATGCCTACACCAAAGGCAGAGGTGGAACAGACCAACTTGCTTCTAGAAACAGTGTCATTGTCTGTTTCCTGTGGACCGGCGACTTTCATTGGAATGTAGACATTATTCACGACGCTGAACACCCAACAACTGTAACAAGAATAACTCACCAGATTTGGGACCCTTCCTCTGATCATGACTCTACCCCAGTTGCCAGGAACAAGAGTGACAAACTGATAGGTGCTCAGGACCGAGGTGGTGCACAGGTTTGTGCTTCGAGCCACCAGGTGCATGAAGTACTCAAGTTTACATCTGAGATCGGTCTTAATATTGCGTGGGGCAAAAACCACCATGTGTTTTGGAAACCCAATAATGAGGAGAATCAAGGCATTGGCCACAGCCATGTGGTTGAGAATCACCTGTGTGGGTTTCATCTGGATGCCAGTGAAGACTGGAGAGAAGTTGTGGAAAAACAGAAAGATGTTGGCCACAGTCCCAACCCAAACCAGGAAAAGCAAGGAGAACTGAAGAGCCACTTCCTCAGTGGTTTTCAGGGATTTAGTTTCAGCAGACATGGAGGGGGCTTCACTGGACACTGGAGTGAACATCTTGTGAGACAGTGCTGTCCTCAATTCTTTGTCCTGTTCTCCACGCTCACCAATTGATTTTGGAGCGGTTTCTTCTTCTGAGAGGGGAGACACTACTGTCTCATACTACAGGAGCTTTGCCAGGAAAATAACACATGGATGTTAGGTCGGGATAAAAATTTGTGCTTGTTGAATTCCTCCTGCCTCCAGATAAAAGTTGTATGGATGTTGCAATTGTAACTCAATCAGTCAGAAACAGACACGCATTTTGATACAGTATGGACTTTGCATATGAATGCATGAAAGTGATGCATGAGTCCGCAACTCCATCATCACTATTAATACACTTATTATACATTAGTAATGCATTAAAAATAAATGTTTGTATGCTACCATCAAAGTTGTGCAACTGAATTAAACAGTGGGGAATCAACTTGTTGGCTTTTGAGAAAATTTTATACTGATCATCCATGTAACAAAACACCAGTTCTTTGTGATAAAGCAACTAGTGTTCTGATCACACTGGTGAACTTGGGTTTTCATAAGCATCCTCCATATGAAAACAATCCCTATTTCCTACTGAGTCCAATTTATTCACAATTTTACCTATCTTATTTGTTGTTCTAAGCATTCAGGTTCCAGAGACTTACCTGTGCCATCTCCAGCTTTCCTCAGACACATCTAAAATCATTAACACAATCACAACTATACCCTTTCCAAGCTGATGCTGTGTCTGCATCTTACTTGGTTACATGTTTTCCCTAGAAACACTCAGCCTCCATGCATCAGCTCAAATCTACCATCCCACATACAGATGTCACACTGAACGCCGTTTTCAGGTGAAGGCCAATCTGTGAAAGAGACATTTCTTTGAGATTAAAACAAAAAAATTACCCATTTGGATTCAACTGCACAATTCTAGAAAAATGATGTGTGTTGGTTTGGAAGAGACTGTAAAGTCAAGAAGGGAGAAGGGAATTTTAAGAAGTCTGTGGTAGAGAATCCCACCTCTGAGGCTCACATGGATGAGGATGCTCACAGGATGAAAGACAGCTCCTGAGCACAGTTCCTGTTGAAGCGTCTCTCGCAGTGCCTCGCCCCCTGAAGACCTTGTCTGTGTAGCTCTTGGCCAGAGGAAGAATTTAAGGAACTTAACTGTTACTCATTTTCCATGCAATGCTGTGAAGGTGACCTAGAAGAGTTCAGTTTCCAGTGCCCATAAAATAACAATGTGCCTGGATATGACATCCCTCAGAGAGCTCATTATGATGTCATCTGTGGTATTAGTCAGATTGTCCAAATGGAAACTTTGGGATAGTTACAATGAAAAAAAACCCATTTATCCCCAGAGAAAAATCTCCATTTTTACCTTCTGGCAATTAACGACGGTGTCTAGTAGTTTGTTAGATCTTAATGAGTATTTGGGCAGAAGTTAGGAAAAAGTTTTGCATGTTTCCTTTGGGAGAATCTAAGTTCTGAATTGATCTTGTAGTCAGGCGTGGTTTGGTGCACCCAAGGGCAGATCCAGGGATTCGTTATGTCTTTCCAGAGAGTACTTTTCTCCACACTGTTTACTTTTACATGATCCTGTAGACATCAAGTCCTTCTGGAAATCTATTAACGTGTTATTCGGAGTCTGTTATTCTCCAGGAAGTTGTTTCATTCCATGTGTTCCTTTATGTGTCCCACGACATTAAGTAAGACAAATCTATTAACTGAAACCAGTGTTCTTCTCCTGCGTCCTGGGGGTTACTTCACTTCTGACTTCTTTTCTGAAACACTCATCCTCATCACAGACCTGATAGATGGGCACTAGTATCTAGCGAATCTGTTGTGTAAGGAAGCTATCCTGAACATACAGGCCATGACTATGAGTTAAACAGCCCTAATCACATTCTTTAGTTCACTAGGTTTAATAGAAAACATACTTAGTTTTGACATCTTTCATGACGAATAGTAAAATCTCATGTGATAAATCCATTAATTGAATCTTCTAAACCTTTATTAATATTTGGACCTCCAGGAAGATTGTCTTAGACAAAGAACATTTACTTGGCTGTGTGAGAAGTCAGCATTCATTGTGCAATATTTTCCTGGTGAACATGCCATTGTTTTTGATGAATATGTGGAAAAAAGATACTAAATGAAAAATAATATATCATGTATTGCTTGGGTAACTTATGCTAGTCTAGGACAAGTACACATCCGTGTTCTCACTTGTAAAATTTATGTTGCCAATTGACAATTATGCATGGTATATTAGTCTCACAAAAAGATATTTAGATATTTGGATTTTTTTCTCTTTTTTGGATAATTTTTAAAAAATTTAAATCTTTTTTATTTAAATTAGAATCATGCTTCCTTCACATGTCACTCCTAGGTCCTGCCCCCTTCTCTCCTCCCCACCCAATACCCACTCTGTTCCCCAGGGAGGGTGAGGCCCTCCATGCGGGATCTTCTGAGTCTGTCATTTCATTCAGGACAGGGCCTAGGCCCTCCCCCATGTGTCCAGGCAGAGAAAGCATCCCTCAGTGTGGGATGGGCACTTGAAATCCATTAGCATGCCAGGGATAAATACTGATTTACTACCCAAGGCCCCATAGATTGCCTAGGCCTCCTCACTAACTCCCACACTCAGTCCCATGGATCAGTCCCATACTGGCGTCTTAGTCATCAGTCTGGGGTCCAAGAGCTCCCCCTTGATCAGCTGTCTCTGTGGGTTTCTCCAGCCCAGTTTTGAACCCTTTGCTCATCACTCCTCCCTCTCTGTCACTGGATCCTGGAGTTCAGTTTAGTCTTTAGCTGTGGTTGTCTGCCTTTGCTTCCATCAGTCACTGGATGAAGGTTCTAGGATGGCTTATCAGGTAGACATCAAACTCATTATCAGGGAGGGGCATTTAAGGTAGCCTCTCCCCTATTGTTTAGTTTGCCATTTGGTGTCATCATTGTAGAAGTCTAGAAATCTCATTAGTTCCAGATCTCTCCTCAACCCTATAATCACTCCCTCTATTATGGTATCTCTCATCCTGCTCTCCTCTATTCTTCTGCTAACTCAACCTTCCTGCTCCTTCATGTCCTCCTCTCCCTTCCTTTTCTCCCCTGCTCTTTATCCTGTGTCCCTTTCCCTCCAATAAGAATGTCTTGCCTTATTACCATTCTCTGGGGCACCATGCATATCTCTCTTAGGGTCCTTGCTGTTTCCCGGACTCTCTGGCAGTGGGATTGTAGGCTGGTACTCCCCCTGATCCATGTCTAAACTCCATATATGAGTGAGTACATACAATGTTTGTCTTTTTGTGACTGGTTTACCTCACTGAGGGTGGTTGATTGTAGTGTAGTCCATTTGTCTGCAAATTTCAAGATTCCATTATTTTTTCCCGCTGAGTAGTAGTCCATTGTGTAAATGTACCACATTTTCTTTATGTACTCTTCATTTGAAGGGCTTCTAGGTAGTTTCCATGTTCGGGGCATTATAAATAATGTTGCTATGAACATAGTTGAACAGATGTCCTTCACCTCAAAGTCATGTAACAAACACACCTTCATCTAACAATGTTAATTTCAAAGCTTTGTTTCAGCTGTGATGCACTCTGAGACCTGTGAACATATCTCCCAACATTAAGGTTAAATAATTTAAACTATCTGGGCTACTGGGACTTAATTGTTAACCCCCAGCTTGAGATACAATCCATGCAACTCCTTAGGTGAATCTCACAGATGCTGGCTGTGAAACATGTCCTTGTATTCATTTTTCATTCATCAAAAATCTGTGTGAACTATCGTTGTTATCAAATTATACAGTGTAGCTTAGGCAGGTGTCATCTTCTTGACAATCCTCTGGTAAAAATCCCAGTATAATGGGGTATTCTCAAGAGTCAATACACTGCAATTACTGGCATTGGAGATCTCCCCAATGCCACTTATCTCATGCCAGCTACCAGAGAAAGAGGTGCAGCAAACATTTAAAGGCACAGCAGAAGCAAAAGACATTCCAGGGGCTACAGTGTGGTGGCCTTGCCTAAATTAGATTGACCTATCAGAGACTTCTCTTCTGGCGGGCTGATACCTGGAACTTTAATTGCCACTTGTTGCTCACGGGCAGAGTGTGGATGTTAAATGTTAGCCTTGTCTTATTAAAGACATATGCTTTGTCTAACTGTTCTTTCAGTTTTACTTAAAAAATCCCAGCGGGGAGAGAGAGCTGTTCCACTTCCACCCAAACTCAGGGCAGAGGTCAGAGATGAGCACCGGGTCCCCATCTTTTAGACCCGAAATCCCCCCGCTTGCCCTCTCTAGGGCCCCCTGGCTTGGGGACTGCAACCAGGTTGACCTGCCCCCAGAAGGACGACCAAGTGACCAGGAGCCTGAGAGAGGGAGCTGTCCACTTCCACTCACACTCAGGGCAGAGGGCAGAGGACAGAGAGGAGAGGCCAGAGAATATTGGATTAGCTTGCACCCATAGAAAGGGAACCCTTTTTACCTACACAGCAGGAGAGGAAGAGACTCTTTCTACACCCACTGGAAGAAGTGATGGGGAAGAGCCAATATAAGAACACACTCAGTACCAGAAAACAAATATGACACCACCAGAGTCTAGAGATTCTACACCAGTAAGACCTGAACACCCCAATGCAGTTGGAACAGAAGGGAATGACCTCAAATCACCTTTATGAAAATGATAGTGGCCCTCACAGAGGATGTGAGAAAATCCCTTAAAGAAATGGAAGAAAAAGCAAACCAAAAATCCAACAAATTCAAGAAAGGGAGGAAAACATGAAGCAAAAATTACAAGAAACAACTCAAACAATGCAAGTGTTGAAAGCTGACATCGAGACAATAACAAACACAGCCTGAGGAATGCTGGAAATACAAAAACTGGGTTAATGGTCAGGTACTGCAGATGCATGCATAACCAACAGAATACAAGAGATGTAAGAGAGAATCTCAGATATTGAAGACACACTAGGAGAAATAGATTCATCAATCAACGAAAATCTTAAGTTCAAGAAATCCCTAACACAAAATATCCAGGAAATATGGGACACCGTGAAAAGACCAAACCTAAGAATGATAGGTATAGAAGAAGGTGAAGATGCCACCTCAAAGGGGCAGAAAACATATTTAACAAA